ATTTTAAAAATTTTGAAAGAATTAAACGTTGTTATTGCCTGCAAATTTTTCTTAGTCAATGAACCTGGAACGGGCCGTTCTGATCCCAGTTGTTGTGTGTTAAATTTGTAACTGAAACGTCCCGTTCTAGATGCAAATGTAAACAACGAGGGTTTTAAAACGGGCCATTCTGGTTTCAGTACGGCCCGTTCTGGAACGCCAACCAGAGATTGAAACTATTAATTATTATAAGGGACCAAATTAGGTGTTTTACCATTTTTTTGTGTTATAAAATTTAAATTATATGAAATTAAGTGTAATAATTTTTGTTTGTGTGATTTTAATTATATAATATTGATGTAGTAGTATAAGATTATTTTGTTTAGGATTTAATTGATTATTCGTTATTTAGGAGTTTATGGTATTTATTATTTAAATTTTATATACGTATTTCTTGATTTTGTATAATTTCAGAATGTCTCATAAAAGAGTTAATCCGGGACCTATTGATGATTCTTTACTGACTATGCAATTAATTCACGTAATGGTGAGGCTGATAGAGTTCTTCGTATTAGAAGAGCTACCAAAAGTGGTCATCGAGATGGGTCAATTCTCGACGAATTAAGACCGTATCTTGCACGAGCAGGGATGCTGGGAGTGGCAGAAATCTCATACTTTCTTATTGACCACTAGTTAATTTCAGCATTAGTTGAGAGATGGAGACCAGAAATACATACTTTTCACATCACATTTGGAGAGTGTACCAATTACATTGGAAGATGTTTCAGTTTTGCTAGGTCTAAAGGTACATGGAGACCCAATTACTGGTTGTTCGACATATAGATGGGTCCCACTTGTTGAATATTTGTTTGGAATAACACCACCAGCAAATGCAATTAAAGGTGGAAGGCTAAAGATGAGCTGGGTTGATGAACATTTTTTTGATGTTTTGATGCATGTGCACAGTATTGAACAAATGAAACGATATACCCGAGCTTATATTTTGCGGTTGCTTGGAGGTATGCTTTTCTTTGACAAGTCTTCAACTCTAGTACTGATGCGATATTTGGTGATGTTAATAGATTTAGACCAATGTGGGCAACTTAGTTGGGGATCAACCTTGCTTGCTCATTTATATAGAGAACTGTGTGTTGCCACTAATTATGACAATAAAGAAATTAGTGGGGCATGCATTTTACTGCAATTGTGGGCATGGTATCGGATGTCGTATTTTGCACCCTTCACGGCACCACGAAATATTTTTGGTATTCCTTTAGGTGCAAGGTAATATTTTAATTTAAATTGCGTTATTAAATATTAGATTTAACATTAGACAAATAATTTTAATTAACTTGTTAATTTTTCATATTTTTAGGTGGAATAGTGTCTTGCAGGTGACACAAAGAACTATTGTTCAGATTCGCGATATGTTAGATAAGCTGAAAGATAAAGATGTACGTTGAAAGTTGTTATTCATTACAAATTAAAAGTGGATATCTTCAAATTAGTATTCATTTATGACTTTTTGTGTTTTTTGTTTGCAGTTTGTTTGACAGCCATACCTTCATTTTTTATTCTCTACCACCATATTGTGTAGAGAACAAAAATATTTGGAGGGCAGTAGTGCCATTAATTGACTTTCATATTATTGAGTATCACCATGCTGACCGTGTGATGCGCTAGTTTGGCATGGTACAACACATTCCTCGTCCTCCACGTCAACCAGATAATTTGCATGATCTAACTCTACGCGGCAAAGATGACATTGATTGGCGAGTTCAGCATGCTGTCTTTCTACAAGAGTGGGAAACAAGGTTAAATCGTGTTTGGACACAAGAAGCTTGTACTACTACACGTTTAAGTAGTAATTCAGAGTACATGGTGTGGTATAAAAGACACACCAGACGTTGGATTGGGCCTATTACTGCAAAACACGGTTATGTGGTAAGTAACATATATTCGGTTGTTTATATTTGTGTTTTATATTAAGTTGAACATGTACAAATAACAATCAACCCGCAACAATTTTGATTTACAGGATGACACTATTGAGGAAATGTATCATAAGGCTAAAACAGAACCTAAAAGCAATTTTTCAATGCAAGAATTGACTGATAATCTTGCTAACTGTTTAGAGGTATACGGTGAATTCCACCGACTTTAGTATCCCTCTACAGGTGCTCCACTACCATTACAAGATGAGCTCGAACCAATTGTTGTGGAAGATATATGTAGGAAACCTTATAATTAAATTGTCCACTTATTCTTTCTTGAATTAAGGATATTGACACGGAAGCATCTTCCCTAACCATTCCTGAAATGAAATGTTAACAATAATACTAACATTATTATGAAGAATACCTTTATTTTAAAATTTTTGAAAAGTATGTATAGATAAAAAGTTACCTAATATGCAAGAACAAATGAATTCTAAGTCCAATTTGTTGTGATCTTGAGACAATATTGCATTAATATATGTATGTCGACCACCCCATTTCTTTATGACCCACTTGTTATTGCACTTAGTGGACATACTAGCCCTTAGTTTCCAAGGGCAACCTTCATTACTATTAGGGCATCGTACAGACAAAACTTTCAATCCAGACTCAACAACTACAAATGTCTGATGAGCATTCATAGAGTAGTGTTTAACAGCCATTTGGACATCAGCTTTTGTATAAAAACATAGCCCAACATACAACTTATCTCCAACGCGCCAAGAATTGGGAACATCTAATCCACCATACCACATTTCTTGATCTGGATGTGGGGTGCTAAGCATCGTGGTCGTCAATGTATTTTGTCACCTCATGATCCGACAGATCCACGATGGAGGCATAGGAGATGATTAATTTGTTTATCATATATTTTTGTTATTTTAGGACTTTGAATTATGTAATGAATTATAATTTTTAATCCATGTTTAGTCATTATTGTGTTTAATAATCATGCACCAATGATTTAAAATAATTCATACTTAATTAGAAAAAAAAATTACTTAAAATATCACACATAACTGAATATTACATTATGAAAACTCCATATAGACATTAATGATTTAGGTCATCAATGATATTTGATGCTAGTTGCGGACAATTTGTTCTATTATGACCTTCAGGCCTACAATGTCCACAACGTTGTGTTCGTTGTGACTCTGTCCAATCCATTTCATTTCTTATACGCGTTGATTTCGGACGGCGTTTACCACGCAACATACTTTGGTCAGGGACAATGTGAGGTCCGTTGGTAGGACGAATGTTGTCATCATTGCCAAGCGGGTACCATTGGCCAGAATATGCCTCTTTGATATATGCATTTGAATAGGCAGCATCAACATAGGTCAACGGATCTATGCGAACATAAGCACATGCGGCAATGGCATGTGAACATGGATATCTGTAAGCTTGAAAAGCTCCACACTCACATTTTCATTCATTAAGAAGTACTGTCCAAGTATGACCACCTCTTTGTGTAACTGAATTAAAATCTTCTTCCACTACGAATCTGGTGGCCTCATAGTCATATCTTCGAACAAAATGAGATGTTGCCTCCTCTTGGTTGTTCCGCATAGCATCCATTAACTTTGTACAATATCGTTGACCAACAGCAAGCTCTGCATTTGCTTGACCTAACCTTTGCACAAAATATCACCCCTGATGACGTTTTCATAGTCAAAATACATGTGTCAGTCCCCAATGGTTTAGAGCCCAGTGTTTTAGAGCAGCTGAGAGTGGCCAGAGTCAAACACAAAACGTCAGTACCAGTGATGTTTTGTGTTGTTAGTTTTTTCTGGTACTGAAGTTTTCTGTTGCTTTTTTTTTTTTTTATGAACACAAAACGTCAGTACCAGTGACGTTTTGTGTTGTTTTTTTTAGCTGAACTGAAAATGTCACTGGTACTGACGTTTTCTGTTGTTTTTCTTGATCAACAGAAAATGTTAGTACCAGTGACGTTTTCTGTGTGAACAGTGTAGCCTCGTCACTCAGAATGACGTTTTTTACAAATTGTCACCCACTCTAACGTTTTCTTCTTTTCTCCATATCCTACGTGTCCAAAATTATTTATTTTGGTAAATAGTTTTTTTATTAATTTATTTTAGAAATTTTTTTTATTTATTATTTATTCTGGTTCTTAAGCCTTGTTTTTCAATTGTTGCTTATTGTTATCCTCCATATGTGATTAGTTTCTGATTATGTAATACGTTTTTTTTTTGTCTGTGTCTGATATAAGACATATTGCTTTCTGGCTTTGAGGTGGGTCATCTAATTAAAAAGGGTTGTAATTGGTAGATATTTTTTATGATGCTGCTGGTTTACCACTTGTATCCAACTTTATTCAGGTGAGTATTTCTTGTACTCAACTATTCAATTTATATAGATTCTCATTTGCTTGTAAAGAGGAGAAAAATAATTCACTGTGCTTTTCTTGAATATCCCTGAATCGTGTAGTTATCAGAAATGTGATACTTGGAGATACACAGCACTCAAAGTATATAATTCATCAATTCTTGCAATTATACCAAAGGACTTTATAACTTATTGATATGTAATTTCCTGGAATGTTGAGTGGATCCAAAAAATCCTAAATTCCCCCACCATTATCCTCATTCATGGTTACTTTTTTATTCCCCCGAATTAATAACTAACCCGTCCTTCATATACATTTGAGAGATTGTAGCTACCATTACCCCGTAAATGGTCAAGAAATTTTATTTCTCATATCAATTAATTAAGTTGTTAGGTACATATATACTTAAAGAAGAAAGAAAAATTAAAAAATGATAAATATACATTATACGATGTAGTAAAAAGAGAAAAGGACAAGTCTAAAATTAAAGTGGAGAAAAATGTTTAATTGTTTAATGGATATTAATATGTTTTATTGTTAAGATGGATAGATAAGATTTCAATTAAGTTAATAGGACTCCAAATTGCACGACCACGACAATACTATAAAATATCTATGGGGATGTTATCAGATTACAAAAAATTGCACTTATAAAAACCCAAAATACTCCATGATGGTAGGAATCCAAGATAGAAACTTACGACTGAATATATTCATTACATAAACCATAATTAGGATTAGGGAAAGCACATATCCAACTCACTCACTTATGTACACCCCTTTATAATCACACATGGTATATAACGGGAAAAAAAAAAAGAAGATAAAATTCTTAAGTAATTATGATATTAATTGTTCTTGAATTAAAATTAGAGTTTCACCTCAATAAGTTTTATTAGACAAGTTTATGAGATGAGAATCTAATTTTAATTGAAAAACAACCTAAAAACACCCTAAAAACACTCGAGAATTTGTATCTAAATTTTTTCTTCGACTAATTATTTTTTACACCTTCAACCGATATACACATCACTTGTCTCCTTCTCAATTTCCTCTCAAATCAAGAAATTACTATATAGTTGAAAATGTAATTCTAATCAATCTTCACATAACAAATCATTTTTTTTAATTTATAAGAAAGAATTTATAACATGTCACGTGAAGATTAATCAAAATCATATAGTCTCAAACCATATAATAATTTCTCCATGAACCACTCAAGCCCTTGAGATCAAGGAGCCCATGACTCCGGCGATGAGAACGGTGGGATCTCCGAGCACCGCCGACACCGCCACCTGCACCGCCATCCCGGCCACCTCACAACACTTCCTCACCCTACTCCCTTTGCTCCTCCCCTTATGGCAACCACTCTCAAGAACACTCATCAACCCTCCACTTTGGTGCCAACTCTCCACCACCATCTCCCTCACACACGCCACATGCAAATTGTACCTCTTGCAAGAAGACCTATAGCTCCAACCCCGCCCCCTCTGCCCGCACCGGTGGCACGCCGAGCTCACCTTCCTATACAAAAGCAACTTCACCCCATTTTCTTCCCCAAGCACCGTGGGGAGCTTGGCGCAGCAGGGGTGAAGGTCGAAGCCACACGAAAAGCAATGGTAGAGAAACCCGGCGACGGGTTTCTCACACGCATTGCAATAGCGCGGCGTGTCGCCGGGCGGGTGGGAGAGGAAGTGGAAGGAGCATTTAGGGTAGAAAGGGTGAAACAGCGAAGAGGAAGGGATGGCACAGTGAGTGTGAAGGTCAAAGTCGCAAAAGGAGCACTTGTAGCGTGAGCCTATGCCTAGTTCCTTGCACCCGTCACATTTGAAGGGGGATTCGGAGTAGTCGAACTTTAGCTTATGTTGTTTGTGGCTGAAGTGGGATATCTCGCTGTATTTTGTGTTGATGCTTGTTGTGTTGTTTGTCACATGCTCTTTCTCGTATTTGTGATTATGGGAATTGGACGTCAATGAAGTATACATAATTGGAAAGGATACGATGTGCTGTGGTGTGAATTTTCTCTTTGGGTAGCTATTGGAGTGAAGGGATGAGAGGTAGGAAATATATATTTAGAATCTTGATCAACTTCTACCTCAAAATTGTTGGATTGTGTAGATAGAAGAGAGAAACTACAGATTAGATATTAGAAAGAAAAATTGATAGATATATAAGTAATGTGATAGAAAAGAGAGAGGTGGAAAAAAGTATCAAATTAAGATATTTCCTAAATAATTGTCTGCATAATGAGTGAGTATAAAATGTCTAATCACTATTTGAATTCATCAACTTTGGATATTAAAAAAAGAAAATAAAGATAAAATGGATGTATAAAAAAAGAAAAAAATGGTTAAGAAGAAGAAATAAGTGGTATACACAAGGTTATTGTTTGTCTGTTTTGGGTGTTTTGAAATTAGGTTATAGATGGAGCAATGATGGAAAGGAATTGGTGGTCATGGTGGAGATGGGTGAATGCATGGTGAGGTCAAGGGAATCGAGGCATGAATAGAGAAAGAGGTAGACATAAAGCATATTATTAGGTCGTGCCCCCACAAGAGAATATATCCTAAATTTTCTTTACTTTGGAAGATGTGTTCTTTATATTCTTAACCTGAAACCTCTTGGTCAAGTTTTTAATTTGCACTTGGGATTAAGATTTGAATGTGAATATCAAGGGGATCGTGTTTCAAAAGAAATGGGAAACTCCACGGGGCAGATTTATATGGTTCTATAACTGATTATTTCTTTCATTATTTCACATAGGTGGTAATTTTGAAAGAAAAAAAACAAACAAATTAAATACAATTCTTTAAGTTTTTTTTTTAATGTTTTTATGTCAGAATCATAGTTTTAAAAATCGGACCGGTCATTAAATCGGTTAAGATATTGGGTCAGTGAGTCAAAAATTGAATCGATAAATCATTAATTAAATCGCATGATCCAATTTTTATTAATTTTTTTTAAAAAAATATTAATGTTAAATATATTTTATACTTATAAATTTCAATAAATTCATATCCTATGTTAAATTATCTTATTTAAAATTATCTTTATTTTTATTTTGTATAAAAAAATACATAAAAAAATTATTTAAAATATTTTTTGGTTGAACAGGTTTGACCCACCGATTCACTGGTTGAACTGGAAAACTGACCGGTTCACTCCGATTTGAAACGGATCAAATGCATAATCAATCCAACTCAAGATTCAGATCGGCTAGACAATCAATTCCCGATTCAACCGGTCCAATCCAATTTTTAAAACTCTAGTCAGTCAGTGTACGTAACATCTCAGCAATTTTTGTGTTGATATTCGCAGCAAACTTTTATTATTGAGATTAATTATCAGGGTGAAATTTTAATCTAGTTAGAAAAACTACACTAAAAACACTTAAGAAACAGTATATAAATTTTATCCTTTTTGAAAATGAAATTACATTGATGTAGTTTACTCCAATTGTTACATTAACACTATAGAATATAATTTTTTTATCTTTGAATTATAATGATATATTATCTTAATTATTTGTATCAAGATAACCAAATACTATATATATTTTAAACTATATTACATTAACTTTGATTTACATAAATGAACGAGTGTTTGAGTAGTATATAGGTGCCTATGAAAAGTTTATGCTGCAAATTTAGTAAATTTGGTAGAAAAATAATTTCTCGCCTCTGAACTAGACTAATATTGAGTTAAATTGACTTAACTATTTGGTAACATATTCTATTCTTGGAAAGATTATCCCAATAAATTAATTCAGTGATTTATTCTTATCTTTTTAATTACAATGACTCAAAGAATGAAATCCTCAGGATATATAGTCTAATCCTACTAGGCATGAAATGCACGCAACCTAAAGTTTTGAAAGAAAGAAAGAAAGAAAGAACGCATAAATTCTTTATCCCAATTTATACTTTTCTACCTTCTAAATACAATTAAATATTGGCTCCAGAAGAATCTTAACCAGTTATATATATGGTCTTATATATCCCCTTATGTCTTCATCTAAAATGCGAATAAAAAAATCCATTTTATTTGAGATATGTTTGGTAAATTTATTCATCAGTATTTGTAATAAAAAAAATATATTTTTTTAAAACTTAAAATAAGTTTATTTATAAACTAATTTATAAAATTTTTCTTAGTTTTTCTATAATATTTTTTAATTTATGTAAAAAAATAATTTTAACTTGTGAAAAACTTATTTTATTTTTCAATCTTAAGATTTTTTCTTACAATTAAGTATTTACAGAAAAATTAATCCAAACATACCCTAAATTTAATAAACTAATTTTAAAAAAAAAATAGGTATGATATTTAATAATTTATTATTTGTTATATTTTTTTTAAATAAAAAAAATTATAAAGATAATAAAGATTGAACCTAGATTCCTAGATTTCTAATTATCCCAACCTCTTTCCATCCTAGTGGTTATTATTTGTTATATTTTACAAAGGAACATAACAATGTGGATTAATAGAAAGAAAAGAAAAATAGAGGCAGATATTGGAGCATATAATTTTACCATAATAATAACTAATTCAAAAGGCATAACCAAAGATGTAGCATGGTTGCCACGTGTCACATGTTGAATGGTGTTTCACTAGTAGAAAAGATGAATGATTGGGGAGAATCTGTATGCGCCACACTGCTTCTTTAAGAACAAAGCGAGAAGAATAAAGCAACCTGGTTGAACAAGAATAAGGGATCCTGTTTTTTTTCCCTTCCTCTTCCCTCTTTTACCTGTTTTCATGTTTTGACCATTTATTTTCTTTTACCACTGAAACAAAACAAGCATTTTGAATCTTCCAGAAAGTACAAGTTATTTGTTCTGATATTACCTGATCCAATTCTTCTGCAACAAATGCATTGTATGAGATTAAAGAGTAAGTTGAATGAGGATTCTCTTTCTTGATGAGCGAAGTTGTACTTTATCTCTCTTATATCTTTGTCAAGAACAAGAATAAAATTATTCCTTCCAATTTTTCTCTTACCTTATCAAACAAGGTAACTAATTACCAATTGTTATGGTTTCCGATGGTGTAGCAAACTATAATTCTTAAAATCTTAGAATTTGAGTTTGTATAAATGACATTTTTTTATTATATATATTTATATAATTTTGTTTCCTTGAGTTTATATTTAGGTAAGTGTAATTAAAATTGTGATACAATTTTGAAAAGAAAGGATCGTATTGAAAATATGTAAAAGAATAAAAAATTTGACTCTAATATTAATCTGTCGATAGAATCAAAGCTATTAAAAAAATAAGTGCAACCTTAATCACGATGTATCAGTAAAATTTATACTTTTAACCAAAAATAAAGAAAAAATTTCTCACAAGAGAAACTCACAATTTGATTAAATTTAATTCTCTCTTAGATGCTCACAAGAGGCTCCTATTTATAATCTAAGATAAACAACATCTCATTTATAATAAGTAGTACCTTTTCACTAAGTCTCTATTAGGACATAAATCTCCACTAGCATTTATTTTTCACTAGGAAGTTTAAAATCATTCAAAATTGACCTATACAATATTAAAAGTCATCTAAACTCATTTAATTAAAATAAAATAGGAAAATTTCATTAAAATTGAGAAAATGACACTATAAAAAATTTGTCATATAATGACATATATATGTTCTATAGTGATACAATACTTATCACTAAAAACTACTTTTACTCATACAATATATACAATATATGTTTGTATATTGTTAAAAAGTGTGAATATAAGATATAGTGACACACAAAATATGTTGTTAAATCTCATTTAAAATCAATATTAAAATTGTGTGTAACTATATGTCAAATATATATATATATATATATTAATATATATATATATATATATTTGACATATAGTTACACACAATTTTAATATTGATTTTAAATGAGATTTAACAACATATTTTGTGTGTCACTATAACTTCTATCTATATATATATATATATATATATATATACCTACATATATTGTACTTATAGTGATATTTTTATATGTCACTGTATGTGTAACATTTATTGTAATGTGGGCTTTAAGTAACTTTTAAGTTCAAAAGCTAAGTAAACCACTCAAATAAAGCCTAAACTCACTGTAGTATTTTTAGTATTTGGTGTTGGGCTAATTGGACTTTCCAAATTATTATTTTTAACCCTTTTGTATCTTCTTCTAGTCATTAAAACTTTCATCAATTAAAAATAATATTTAAAAATATTGAACCTTGATAGATTTTTATCGAGTTGTATGCTCATCAATTTATAATATAAGAATTGACTTGACATCAATGTTATTGGAACTAGCTAGGTGACCGACTTAATCAAAATATTTTATTATTGATTGAAAATTAATTATTAATTAAATTGTATGAACCAATATATTATTAAATATATAATTTCATATTAATCATATGATATAACTATTACTTTTAATCAAACATATACTAAAGTTATATTCTACTTTAGTGGTTAAGGATCTTTTATAAATCATGTGATCTAGACTCAAATTCTATTAGGTAAATTTTTTTTTCTTTCAAAACTTCTTTCACAAACCAATCACATCCAATGATAAAATTAACAATGTGAATAATGAAAAAAAATAGGTGGATACTTTGAACAAATAATCTTATATTTAATAAATGTATTATATTAAAAATAATGCATATAACTTAAAAATTTTCATTCATTTGTCAAAAAGCTTCAATTGTGTAGTGGTTAAGATTGTTTCAAGCCATCCAACAGAGCAAGATTCAATCTTATGCGAGACCTTCTGACTCAAGTCTGATAAGAATGGTTTAGAGAGTGAAAATAATAAAACACAAAATCAAAAGATAATTACACTACTCATTTGATATAAGTAAATAGTATATGCAATAGTAGTACAAAAACCTTATTTTTAATGCAAACAAATTTAATTCATGTACTACCCACATCGGTACCAAGGCCCACCTCAACACCTTGGAGGTCGGGGCCACATCGGATTATCAAATCAGACCGCTCCCTAACCAATAAGATAAACTGATAAGATCACAATCTTATCAAATCCTAACCACCTCAATTATCAACAGGGGAAAAACCCTAAATTATATCAAGGTACGTGCATTATATATATGAGACCCATACACCCACAAAGACTGACTTAAGCATTGGAGTCTCTTTTGCAAGTACCAACCCCATCTTGGAGCAGCGGACGTACCAAGCAGAGGAGACTCACCGATCTTACTCAAAGATCTTTTCACCCACCGATCTAAGGTAAGAACAGTTTGGCGCCCACCGTGGCACCCACCGATCATAACATGAGGTTGAACCCTGAGAAGTTTACATTTAGAGTACAAGGAGGAAAGTTCCTAGGCTTCATGATCACTAGTAGGGGAATTGAGGCGAATCCCGAGAAGTGTGAAGCCATCATTAACATGAAGTCCCCCCAGACGTTAAAGGAAGTGCAAAGACTGGTAGGTCGGTTAGCCT